ATCTGTTTTTGGTGATTTGGGTGGCTGTTTTAAAGACCCCATGGCACAACTTCAACATTGGCATCTTGGCCAATATTGTTTCGTCATCAAAGTTCGCCAAATACATTCATTGCCTTTCCTGTAATGTTGTCAACATAATAAATCACTACATTTCGTAGAAAAAACAATTGGGGATTCATTTCATGGCTAAATGTGGAATATTGGTGTACACCAATTTACTGCTGCGTTCGCCTACAAAATACACAATTCTGTAAATTATGCATGTTCACTTGGTTGAAACTGTGTGAAATGCTCACAAAGGCTTAATTGCTTCCAGAAATTAATAGTTAATTGGCAATTGCCTAACTACACATAGTCAATCAGACTCTTTTGGACTATGTACAACTATGCAACCTTGTTGGTTGGTCCAGTCCTGCGGCCATGGGACTTGAATTTGGAAGTCCAGCCAAACACGTCTTTGGATGTCCTTTGGAACACTTGCTGGAGAAAGGAAGTCAGTGCTTTGATTTATTGCCTGTCTACAATCACATATGTCGCAAACAAAAGCTTGGTCTCTAAATTCGATTAGTTGTTGCATATGCTGCTGTACATTTAAGGAATCCACAGAAACCAGTTTCATCAGCAATACCATTTCTTGCACTGACCTTGCAAATAAGCAGTACAACTTGGAAATTCTTTAATTCCAGTTGCAACCTTGATACAACATTGGTTAAATCTTGTGATATCTTTGTACCAGTATTTTGAAACTGGTCTCATGCAATATTACTCTTTTAGGTTTTTTGACGAATCTCTGCACAAATCAACTTGAAAGGAAATATATATTGTATTCAGTTTTGGTCACCCAATTTTAGGAACGATGTCAGGTCCATAGACAAGGTGCAAAGGAGATTTACTAGGATACCAGAGATGCATGGATTGACCTACAACAACAGCTTGTATTTGTATAGTGCCCTTCAGGCTGGACGACGTCAAGGAGCACTTAACATTGGTGGAGCCCAATGCTGAGCTGGGGAAGAGGGAAGGTGACCGTAGGCACGGTCAAAAAGGAAGGTCTTCAAGCACAGCCTGAAAATAATAATAATAATAATAATAATAATCCTTGCATTTGATATAGCGCTTTTCACGTCGGGAGGACGTCCCAAAGCGCTTCACAGAATACACTGTAAAGTGAATTGACTGTATATTTGTGGGCGAACACGGCAGCCAATTGCGCACAGCAATGTCCCACAAACAGTCGTAGATTGAAAATGACCAATTTATTATTGTTTTGTTTTTGGAGGGATTATTAGGGTTAGGGTTAGGGTTAGGGAGAGAGGGGACAAGGCAAAGAGATTGAAGGAAGATCTCCACATCTTCGGGGCTTAGTGGCTGAAAGCAGGTCGCTGATGGTGGGGCAGAGCGTCCAGGGGACATGGAGGAGATTGGAGCCAATCGAGCGGAGGTAGTGGGTAGTGGTGTTGGGAGAGAACAGGTTGGAGAGATAGGGAGCTGCCAGGGCGTGAAGGGATTTAAATACAAGAATGAGGATCTTGAAATCGGTCCGCTCTGTGTGACAAGGAGCAAATTAGTTTGACAAGGACAGCAAATTAGTTTGACAAGGACTGGGGTAATGGAGGTACGAAGTTTAGTTTTGAGTTAGTTGAATTTTGTGGAGTGGAGCAGGGGAGACCAGCAAGGAGGGTGTTTGAGTAGTAACTGGAGGAACTGGGTCTATTTTCAGAGTCACAGAGAAGGTTGAGAGGTGATCTGATAAGAGGTCTTTAAAATAATGAGGGGTTTTGAAAGAGAAGTTTGGGGGGAATTAATTCCAACTGGTCGGTGAGTCTATGACTGGAGGATGTCAAGTAAAGATAATTATCAAACAACAAAGGGGGGAGATGAGGAGGAATTATTTTCTACATTTTGTATTATTATTATATGGAATAACCTGACAGGAGCGAGGTCAAGTGGGATTCCATATTAGCTTTCAAGTGAGAACTAGATACACATCTAAAAAATAATAATTTGCAAATGTATGGAGAAAAGGCAGGTAAACGTGACCGAATAATTGTTATTTCAAAGAGCCAGCACAGGCACAGTAGGCTGAATGGCCTTCTGTGCTATGAAGTTCCAGGCCCTTGAGATTACAATTAAATCAATAGTGTTGACCAAATCCCAAGTACAATTTTTGGGGGGGCAAATTAGAGGGGCATATACCATAACAATGTTAATCTTGGTCCTTGTTGTGCATACCTTTGCAAATGTAGAGCAACAGGCTATAGTACACACAATCTGCTAAATGAAATAGTTCAACATCACAGGATACATGTTTATTCCTACCAGACATTTGGAATCCTGAGAGATGAGAAGAGATTTCAATGGGACCCCTTTGGAAGTTAGCAGGAACAATAGTCAGGAGACTGACAGTAGTTTTTGGGGTAACTGTCCCCAATTTACATTGATTCACATAGAATGTATAGCATGAAAATCCAACAGTATATTCTGTTATGCTTCTGGCATTCCACAGTATCCAAGCTGCTTCTATATTAGGATGCATTGCTGGAGGACGCTAATCCACAAACCAGGAAACTCGTGTTGAAAGGTGCCTGTGGGGCTACAACAGAGGAAGGTGTGACTGGCAAGATTCAACAAGGTCAGAGTGAATTACCGATTACTATAGTGTATATCTAGAAAATTCCAGCGGGAATAACAAACAATCACTTGAGGAATGATTCTTCCAACGTGACCTTACATATACCGTTAGATGATTGCGAGCTGTTCTATTCTTCCATATACCACTTTGTCGTAATTCACCAGATGACAAAGGACCTAAAACCCTCTGAAGACCGCTAAAGACTGCAAAATCTAAGTATGGACACTATCGTTTCCACTTTGCATTGATGGACTGGGCATTTTAATGTTGTGTTCCAACAGTGCTATCTTCCTCCAGCAATGCATCCTAATATAAAGGCCGCTTGGATACTGTGGAATGCCAGAAGCATACCAGAATATACTGTTGGATTTTCTATGTGAATCAATGTAAATCTGGGGACAGTTACCTCAAAAACTACTGTCAGTCTCCTGACCATTGTTCCTGCTAACTTCCAAAGGGGTTCCCATTGAAATCTCTTCTCATCTCTCAGGACTCCAAATGCCTGGTAGGAGTAAACATGTATCCTATGATGTTGAACCATTTCATTTAGCAGATTGTGTGTACTATAGCCTTCTTCCTTTCACAATGCTGCTGTATGTAGGTAGCTGCTTTTACAATGTTAAACAAATAGCATTGCTGGGGCTCAACAGCTTGTTGTTTAAAAGTATTGTTCAAGAACTCTTCAGTATACGCTCAGACATTGGTCTATAGCTATGTTACTTTATTTGCACTTTGTGCCTCCCTCTGTGTGGCACATGCAAAATGTTACTGCAGCTGCCTCCATGCACATTTTTGCACAATCCCAATGCTTTTCAAACACAGCCCCCGGAATTTCCTTTGCCACTTCCAAAATTCAACCTTGCTGTCTCTCATTAAAGCAGTAAAACAAATTCAGTGGTAGAACAATAGAAGAAACATTTAATCAATGGTACAGTGTTGTAGGGCACAGGCTCATGTTTGTGATTTCCTGCATTTTGAATATCCAATCTTGGCTAAGATGACGAAGATTGTAGTTAGGTGCTTCTACAAAAGGCATGATGAAATAATCAGAAGGCTACTCACTGCTAGATTATGCTGTTCATTTGATTCAATGCTACCCTGTACCATCCAAATACTATTCAACTCTATTGTAGCCTAAAACACTTTGCTGGTAACTGTGCTTCTATTTTATTCTAGAGTCTTTTAATTTTACTGTACCAAAAGGACTGCACTGGTGTTCTATTCTGTGACATCTTTCTGCTCCAGAGCACTTCACTGCTGTTCTAGTCTACTGTTGCTCATTCTACTCTGCAAAATCTTCTTGCTAATTCTTACTGCTATTTTCAATCGAGAACCGCTTTATTCCATTCTTAAACACTATTTGTGCTCGCTTTTCTCTTATTCGAATCTGTTGAATTCTAATCCTAATAATTCTGCTGCACTCTACAAATCCATCTGCTGGTACTAATATTTGTACTGTACTCTTGCATCAATCCTAGGGCTTTGTTCCACAGCAGCATTGGTTGAGACCTGGAAATATGAATCCTGCCCACTCGCTGAGAAAGGACATGTTCTGATTCCCAATTGTGGCAGGCACAAGGGCGAAAATGTTTTTTGGGTGGGAGGGAATGATCAGAGGTTTAAGCAACCCTTTTACGCTTCTTAGTTCAAAATATTTTGCACTTTGATTTTCCATCTAATTTTCGCTTGTTAATTTTATTATGAAATGGCACTGTTACTCCACTGCTATTTTAGTCTATTGCTCTTCATTCTTTTCTGCAACACTATTGCTTTTTCAATCTAGAGCCCTCTTATTTTATTCCATTGCATTGCACTCTATAGTCATCCTCATTCTAAACAGAACTATGCTAATAATTTTGCTGCACTGTACTGCTAATAATTCCACTACACCATACTGGCTCTAATTCTACTACATTGTCCTGCTAGCTGCAGTGATCTGCTAATTGTGCTATACTGTACTGCTAATAATTCTGCAGCATACTCTGCTAGTAATTCTGCCACGCTGTACTGCTAATAATTCTACCACATTCTACTGCTCATAATTCTGCTGTATGCTAATATTTGTACTGTGCTCTTCCATCAATTTTAGTGTCCCATACCAGCATTGGTTGAGGCCTGGAAACGTGAAACCTGCCCACCCTTTAAGAAAAGAAACATTTTGATTCCCATTGTGGCATGTACAAAGGAGAAAATCATTTTTTTTNGGAGAAGAGGGAACGACCAAAGGTTGAAGGAAACATTTTATGTTTCTCAGTTCAAAATATTTTGCACTTAAATTTACAACCTCGTCTTCAGTTCATTTTATCGTTGAATGCCACTGCTGCCCGAAAAGAGTAAGTTATTTATCTAGTGAAAAGCATCACTAATGTTCTAGCTGGAATGCTTTAATGCATATTAGATGTTACAAACAACAGAATCATTCAGAATGTTTTATCTTTCGTAGCATATAATCACTGAAACCAGCAGATACAGCGGCTTAACTGGGATTCAGCTACAGCACACCTATAAAACTTCCATTCTAAGTTCTCCAGTTAAAATCTGTGAAATCACCTCCAGTCCAGGGTGAGTAGACACCGAATGACAATGAGCTAATTGTGTACGAAAATTACTTTTATTGTTCAGAGCCTGAGATTTCAGTCAAAACTTCAATGTGCACTTACATAAAGAAGTATTGTAACTATTGAGTAACAAACAGACAAGAACACCATTGTGGTTCATGCAGAGGTGTTATCATGCATGATGCTCCACATAATCCATTGATTCATTAGAAAATTAATACAACATACTTAGTTTGCCCTGTTTATTCTCCTAATCAGTTGTACATGCAAGACTCATAAGTGGGGATCATATACTTGATGTTAATGAAGGCGTCCTCCCCTCCATACAGCTCAAAGATCTCCAGAGTCTCCTGAATGAGGTCTCCTATGTTTTCTCTCTTCTGTTGGCTGTAGTCAATGCCATCTCCTGTGTTGACTAATGATGGAAAGAAAATAAGTGTTAAAACCTTGCAGTGTGCCAACTAACTATTAAAATAGGGCATCCCTGTCAAAGGAATCAAATATAAGCTTCATAAAATCATATTCAATTACTGGACATTTATGTATAGTCCATCTGGATTAGTGAGTAAAGAATAGTTGAATACAGCACTGTCAACTACTCTTGCACCTGTTAACACTGCAGATTTGTTTAATTATGAATTGCCAGGAAATTAGATCCTTGGCTCCTTCTATAAACAACTTTTCTAATTCAATGTTCTTATCCGTGACATACATTATTAAGTGTAGCTTTTAACATTTAAAGGCTTTTAATAAACACTTTCTCCATGTCTGAAAAGCGCAATGATGAAACACAAAGATCATTTCTGCAAACTAACTTGGTGGTCTGACTGGAAGAATCTATAATATGCTTCAGTTCTCATAGCTGTTTAAATCCAGGTTATCTGCAGGCATCAAAGTCATACAGCAATAGGTCTACACCATTGTGCAAGATCAAAAAAAACTGAATTTAACCAGCAAAGATAGGAAGATGTAAGGATGATAATATTTTTGTCATAAAAAATTCATAATAAAATAAAACATCCTTCTTTGCAGAAATATAAAAAAGGTTAACTGGACAATTAAGGAACTGAATCATTGTCTTCCCGGATGAACATCATACTGTACTCTCTTTTACTTGCAGACAGTTGAATTCATGAGAAGAATCTAATGTGTAATTGCTGAAATATGTTCAGTTGTAACCAATCTATCCTCTGTGGAGGATATCATGTGCACTTTGATATGCACAATTAGAAATAATTAAGTTATTGCTATTTGATCCCACACTCATAGGCTAAAAAACTACTGAATTAAATAGCATCACTGCCTACGTTTTAAAAAGGCAAAGCATTTTCAATTAATAAGAAAATCAATTAAAAAATTAATTGCATTTGATATCGCGCCTTTCACTCCAGGAGGATGTCTTACAGGACTTATTGTTCTGTGTCACTATACTATAGGTGAATGTGGGAGCCACAAACAACCATGTTGAATGATTAATTTTAATTGGGTTATTGTTGGTCACACCACTGAGAAAAAGTCCTTTCTCTTTTCGAATATTGCCAGGGGATGTTTAATGTCTGCTGAACAGGCAGTCGGGCATCTCATCTGAGGAACGGCATTTCCAACAATGAGGCTAAGTCACTGGAATGTCAGCGAAGACTAAGCGAGTTCAAAGTCCTGACATGAGATTTGAACACACAACTCAGACTTATGACTCAGAAGCGAGAGTGCTACCAACTGAGCCAGACTGAAAAAGCTGGCTGGAAAAAAAAAATAGCATTTTTCTTTCTCCAAATGTGAGGTTCCTGCAATGCTCCTGTCCCTAAAACTGCAGGAAGGAACACAGGGTATGTGATTGGTACTCAGTATTCCTTAGTTCTGGTTCAGCTCTCCAGAATGGAGCAGTGACTAAAAGGTTAGAGTGTCAGTAAGAAACAAGAAAAGTGACCAGTTTAAATTTCACTCAGCAAATGTTACTAGAAACTAATTTGCAGCATTTCTTAATAGAATTCCTCAATACGAAATCCAATTAGAATTCCATTAACCTGAAGGAATGCTGTTCTGGAAGTGAATTTCATAGGAATGGCATTCTGATAGGTTGGCATGACCTATTTCCGGATAATGGAAAGGAACCTGCAAACACTTTATGAAGGAACCCCGTTAAGAAAAACCCACAAATTATATCCCTTTAATATCTCCAAAAAATTAAAATGTATTGAAGTCAGTTTTGGTTGGAGGCACTTAGTTCTGCTGTAACTACTTCGATATGGCATCACACAACAATAAGCAGGGAAAATGTTTGCAAACTTGTACTCTGGGGACCTGTAGCAGTTGTGTGCTGAGGGATGGCTATTTTACTTCTTCTGTAAATATAACAGCTTTTTCATTGCTTTGTTTTAGATTTGGGAAAAATATAAAGGCTCAAGAACATTGTTCTTTACTTGCACATATGAATTAGGAATGAGAACAAGTTTTATATATTTTTTAAAACTTATACAGTTTTCTTTATGAGATTCCCTGTGGTTTAGTCTGCTCGAGATCTCTTTATAGCTACCGTATTTCTGTCCTCTGGAGCTCTCTCCTGCTATCTCAGTGTACTCTGGAGCTCTCTACTTCTATTTCTGTCTACAATATTCCTCTAATGTTACTGCTGTTGACTCTGGAGTTTTCTTACTGGTATTTCAATCCAACAACAACAAAATTACATTTGTATAGCACCTTTCATGTCGGGAGGACGTCCCAAGGCACCGGATAATCAGTGTTTTGGACCCACTCTGTTGCACTCTATTGGTATTATTTCAATGCTTTTGTTTTCTACTTTACCACACCCTTCTGCTATTCAACTCCACTGTTGTTCATCTCTACTGCTGTTCTATTCCACAGGATCCACTTATATGCAGTTATCCTACTCTATCAAGTTTTGGCAAATAGTGAACTGCAGCCTTATCTGAATTGATCAGTAAGTTTCAAGTATTCTCTGAGGTTTAATAAAACAAAAATGGTTGTTTTATTCCTTGTGGTTTATTTAAACAAGAGTTTTGAGTAATGTGTGGAAGTTACGGGTTGTATTCAATGAATATCCTTTGGAATTAAATAGCATTCATAAAACAAATCACTGCTAATTGACAAATGGTTCAAATGTAGCATTTTGACTCTCTTCAGTTGAAGTGAGTAACAGAAATTCCAAATCTGCTCTTTTCTGCAAAACACAAATTCTTATTTTTGTATGGAAGGTTATCTAACATTTCTGTTTGATCCTGTGCAGCAAAATATTAATTTAGCAAAAACAGCAATATTCTTACAACTCCTGTTCCTAGTAGCTATCAACGGAATGAAACATGGCTTCAAGTGATTTTGCACTGAACACAGCTTTTGTGCTGAGAAAAGAAATGTTCTCACTGTAGAAAGCACTGGGAACAGATTCACAAGATTCTGAATGTTCGTCACAACTCTATGCTAGACCTTGAAACTGTTGAATTTTACTTCATACCCTGTTTTCTGATAATCAAGACATTATTAATAGGGGGAAATGCTGAATGCACAAAATGTACAATTCATTTGGGGAGTGGGGAGTAGTTTCTGCTTCAGGCTACTTTATCCATGACCTGGTTCTTTGAGTTGTGAGCTCCTGTGAAATCTGTGAAAAGCAGTAGTTAAACCCTAATTCCCATTCTGTGTATGAGAAAGAGCACATTGTAGACAAAAGCTAATTCTTAAAACATGGCTACGTCATACCTGAAGGCAAAGAATACATTGAATGAGGGAAGACTTTTGTTGCAATGCTTTGTACACTGGGTTCAATGTTGGATCATTAATCACAACCCTGTAGAAATATTTTCAGCTAAAGTCATTAACTGGATTTGAAGGAACCAAGGAAGTAACCAATATTGCTCAACTATGTTACTAATTTATGCAAGTTACTGTTTAGTCAATGACAGAAAATTAACTAGATGATTACAAATAGCATCTATCTGTCCTTGTTTGCCTATCTGGGTCAAAAAACAAATCAATAAAATCTAAAACGCATTACAGGAGTCCTGTAGCTCAGTGGTTAGAGCTCTTGCCTTGCAAGCGAGAGACCTGGGTTTGATTCCCGGTGGGGCAAAACTATAGGCAAGTTTCCTTACTCCACACACCTGATAATAATCCCTCAAGAAAAAAAATAATAACAATTTGGTCAATCAATCCACATCTGTTTGTGGAACACTGATGTGCGCAATTGGCTGCCGTGTTTCACCCACAAATACACAATCAATTCACTTTACAGTATATTCTGTGAAGCTCTTTGCGACGTCTCAAAGACGTAAAAAGACTATACCAAATGCCAGGATTATTATTATTTAAGTCTAACAATAATTCCAAATTGTCAAAAGGCAATGCCATCTTAAATTAGAATCTCAGAGAATATGATACCTCACTTACTATTAGGTTTGAGTCCAACAGGGTAAAGTGGATGGTGGTAGAATTATATAGTACTAAATTAGAGCGATTTTAAGTTGTCTACAAAAGCTTTATCCAAGAATATGTGAATTAAACATAAGTCATTATTTAAATATATATGCACATTTAAGCATGGAATTATATGGATGCTGGCTCCTGTTAAAAAAATACACTTTGAATTATCTTTTATGGAGTAAACGGGCAACCGTTACCCTTTTTCCACAAACATGGCTTTGAAAAGGCATTTATGTTCGAATTGGAGTCAGGATTTATGTATCATAGTTCATGTTTGGGAAGACTAGAAGTACTGAAGCATGATGTTTCAGTGCGAACCAATTACTTCCAGAATGCCACCTCATTGCTCAGTGTGTATAGAACTGCGTCTCAGCTACATTCAACTAACTACTGTATCTACACTTATGAGGAGTAGATTTACTCTATCCATGTAGCATTAGGGAATCCAGAATTTGGCAAATTGTTGAATTCATTCTGATATTTAAACTACAGTTTTCTGTAGTTCTTAAAAGAACTCAACAAAAAAACGGCTTCAAGATTAAAGGCTATATTAAAGAATTTGTCAAATTCTGGAAGCTCTGAAATGCTACGTAAATAGAATAAACCCTGATGCAGGTGGAATTTCTCCCCAATAAAAAACTGATCTGCATTGGGGAAAAGAAAACTTGCTTGGTGTAGAACTAAAGCCAACACAGCCCAGTTTAAGTAGTCACTTGTCATTGCAAGTAGTCATTGTGGTACTGTTTATGGGCCTTTTCTTCCACGCTTACCTCAGCACCTTTGGAGGATAGTTTCATTTTATAGTGCCTTCTCACATCAAAAATCTCAAAGTGTTTCACAAGTAATTACAGTGACTGCTTCTTCTAGGCAAATCTAAGTTAAATAAGTAAAATGTTGTTGTTCTCATACACTGAATCAACATATGTTTCCAGGAGGAGTGATTGCCTTTTCAGCGAACCAGAAAGAGAGGGGGTGAGATGG